TTCTGGTATAAAATTATGTCTCTGCATAACTTGATATAACATTTCATGCGTTTCTACAGCTGGTTTAATATCACCTTTTAGCACCTAAGAAAGTAAAATAAACGTTAAATAAATGTAAACATTAAAATCAAATAGATTAAAGTCTACCTGCAAACCAGGCCAAAAGGCCAATAAAGCATCCATAAAATTTTTCGAGTTCGTATTTGGTCTGTGCATATGTACATCCAATAACATTGGTCCTTGGCTTACATATTTCATTACTGCTTGATAATGTTTATTAAAGCGTCCAAGATACTTTTCATCACCTATGACATGACAAAAAATTTCATTATATTGCGATAATTTATATAATAAATATAGAACTACAAACAATGTAACAATAATTACCCAATAAAATGTATGCTTTAAGACAATATTCATAGTAGGAATCTATACCTGCTCCAACACCAGAATCTCTTCTTACCCAATCACCGGAATGTACATTTAATACAGATCCCATTAAATCAGTACCGCGATGACGCATTCTCCATAGAACGTCCATTGCTTTTTGTGCTTTCTCCTATTTCATATTTCATACAACATTATTTTGAAAGACAAAATTTACTGATTATTTTTGAAAAATACTACAAAATACCATACTTCAAATATTGGTTCTCCAGTTAACCTTGATAATGCTGCCATTTCTAAAATCATACTTCCTGCACAAGCAGTACATGTTTCTCGTGATATTTCCAAAGGTACACTTTTCATACCATATTTTAAATTTATCTGAAAAAATTATATTAATAATTTTAAACTTTTTATATATTTAATTACACTATAATAAATTAAAGTATTATTACTCTGCCATATGGTATTCCTGTAGTTGTGTTAAATGCAGGTAAAAATCTATATCCTAAATCTTTGGCTAAATTTAGAAGTTCACCTCTATACCAAGGCATTATGTCAGCTCTTTGTTGTAAATATTCTGCTAGTATGTGACCACTTAGAAGACCCCTATTAAGTAAATTTCAGATAAATAACTACATAAGCTGTAATAATATAAACAATTAAACATCTTACCCAAGCATTCTAATATTAGTTTCAAATAGAGAAACTATAACATCAGTGTCAAAGCTAACATCTCTGACAACAAGTTTAACTGCATGTTCAAATTCCTCTAAATCTCCTAATACCTAATACATGTTTAATAGATCAAAATTAATTTAAATTACATTTTGTTAGATATATAAATGAAATGACATATATACATATGAATATTTTATGCTCTTACCACCAATGTATCTAAGGTGTCAACCAATGTAAGTGAAAAACTGAAAATAATATACAAAAATGGATATATAGTTTCCTTAGTATATTAGTATACTATTATTTAAATATAAATAATAAATAGTAAAAACTTGTTAATGTTGAATTTAAATAAATTGTTTTTATTTAAAATATAATTTTATAAAATAAACTTTTATTTATACGTTTAAAGTTTACATTAAATATGCAATGAATTTTTGTTCTTACTTGCCCAATGTAGAATCTATATCACCTCTATTTGGTTCTGATCCTCTGTACCTTCCTTTACAACTTAATGGCATTAATTCATCAGCAGGATACGCATTATCCTTAAAAACATATTTAGAAATAAATAAATTACAAAATATAAATTTTATACATTTTATTGACTTTTTAAATTATAACTTATACCTTTAATGTACAAAAATTAAACAGTTACATGTATAAAAGTATCATAGATTTTATATTTATTATTTTACCAACTTTATATTTACATTTTATATATTTTATTAAATTTTTAAAAGAGATTCTAAGATTTTATTTAAAGCAAATTTTTTATATAAACTTTACCATATAAGCATTATATGCATGACAAAACATATCTCTTGCTTCTTCCCTATAAATAAATATAAAAAATATTATTTTTTTATAGATATCCTTAGTTTTATATATAAATACAAACTTTAATGCTTCCCGTTCTTCTTTGCTCATATATTCCAATGGGTCATCTTCGGATGCAACTAACAATGCTTGTAGACTTAACATTAGTAATCCCCAAATAAGTAATTCACAAGCCATTTTCTTTTGCATTAGAAAATATATTCCTTTTGATGTCAAGATCTTATACTTATAATAGCGCACATTGTTTTTTTATATATTTTGTGATTTGTTTTGTTAGAATATCATTATTGCATGATGAAAATAATATATTACAGTGCAAATTAAATATGCACTAATCTAACACGTTTGTTACTGATATCTTTATCTTTCTATCTTCTGTAGCATTTTTTTTTTGGAAATTATCACACAAGCACTATGAATTTAATAAAAATACATATTATTACTGACAAAATGTAGATTTGCACTATTCAATTATTAACATTTATCATATAGTTTTTAATATATATAGAAAACTTAAGAACTGAAAAATTAAATCAAATCTCTTACTTATATTAGGTTATACAAGTTCTTGATTATTTTTAAAGTAAGCTGGTGATGTGTTAAAATATGACTGGCAGATTCTAGTAAAAATATATATATTTAAATACGATACAAAAAAAAAAAATAAACGAGTAACAATAACAGCTGATTGCGTATTTTTATCAAGGCCAGATGATGTGGCTACTGTCAGTTTGCTGTTCAAACGATTTTCCACCTCAAACTATGATATATACGGGTAGGTTACACACCATATGTTTTGTAATTTGTCATAGTTTTATGTGGAGTAAAATATTTTTAGTATTAATTTGATATAATTATTCTGCTAATTGTATTTTGAGAAGATCTAACAAAATGAAATAATCTAATAGATTATTTAAAAAACAAGGCATAACATTTTTTCTGAAAAACTAACCTCACAACGGAAAGTACAATTGAAATCACGTGACTGTCAGTCAATTTATTGTAATAGATCTTAAATGTAAATTTTTATAATTTATTTTTGCAAAGTGACAAATTAATCAAATAATTTTCAACCTATCTACATTTTTTGTCTTAGATATCATAATTTAAATGTGAAAACAATTCGTAATATAATACAATCGCATTGAATTGCATCTTGAAATTGGAGCGTGTATAAGTTGGTAAAAGCCGGCATCAATACTAACGTGCAATGAATTTGTAAGATATTTTAACAATAAAATCATAATTTTTTCGAATTATTTTAATTAATAAGCGATTGAATAATATTAATAAAAAAATGAAACTTTTAACACATAATATGTTAACTTCAAAATGCTTGAAAGGTGTAACTGTTGGATATCCTCTTGGAATTGTCGTAAGTTTTAAATCTGTATATAATTTTAAGGTTAATGTAAATAAGCATCAACTACATTTTATAAAACATTTCGCATGTTAAATACTTCTAATTTATTCATTTTTGAAAAAAGTTTTTTTATATGAACTTACAGGCAAAGGATATTAAAGTGTCAGAAGTAGATTTCAATTCAGAATTTATTGCAAGAATAATTCCAAAACTTGATTGGGCTACACTTTGGAAAGCTGCAGAAAGTGTAAGTTATTATTTTTCTCAAATAATATTGCTAAAATAACTACTTTAAATGTATAAAATAATATATTGTATATCACATTAAATTTCAAATAAAAGTTTCTACTATATGTAAAATAATATAAAAATAATTTTGTTTTTAATAGTATAATTAAATGAATTTTTAATAATATATTAAATAAATATATTTAATAGTATAATTTTATAAATAAAATTTTTGATATATCAGAAGATTATCAATTTATTCATTAAAAGCTTAAAATAAAAACTACTAATTTTTTATTTAAGTATTCTATTGTTCTTTTTATGTATTATTTATATAAAATAGAATTTTTATTAATTATAATCTATAAAAGAATAATAGAATACTATTCTATCAATACTAATCTACAAAATCTATAATTATAAAAAGAATAATAGAATACTTTTTATGTAAGTATTCTATTATTCTTTTTATGTATAATAAAGATAGAATTTTTATTAATTATAATCATTAACACAGATAGGTCATGTTGGAGAATTACCACAAACATTAATTCAAGACTTTGAAACAAATGAAGAATTTTTAAAAAAGGTTCATCATGTATTATTGGAAGTTGAAGTCATTAATGGAGATCTATTATGCCCAGAATCTGGCAGAAAATTTCCTATTAATGATGGAATACCAAATATGCTCTTAAATGAAGATGAAGTTTAATAGTCAATATTATGTTAATCAAATTAGATGCTGTTTGTATTTTTTTTATAAATGGTAGAAATTCATATGTTGTATATAAAATGTTTTATTAATTTTATAATTTGTTTTGATATCTTTGTTATTATAATTAATGCAAAATAATGTATTACAAAACATTATTACAAAATAATGTAATATAATAATAACTATATAAAAGTTATAATAAACCTGAATAAATATGTAAAATTAATTATAATATTTTTTTAAATATTTTATTTAGTAATTATACATTATATATTAGTATTTAATATTTTGTAGAATAAGATATATATAAGTCATCATTAATTTAAATTATTGTTGAATGTCATGAGCTTATAAAACTTCTCTCTCTTGTTTATTAATATATAAATAAATAATTACATAAAAAGATCGATTATAGATATTTTTATTATACAGATATATAAATACAATGAAATACAACTTTGCATTATTTCATTATTTAATACATTTGCATGTATGATGTTTATATTGCTAATTATGAATTGTTTTTAAATCTTTTTTCAAGTGTCTAATCATTTAGTTTAAAATATTTAGGATGATATCCTTAATGCTAAATATGATTTTTGACATTATAATAACTGTATTAAACACAAAATAAATCTGAGAATATCTAAATATATAGTTTTTTTATGTATTCACATTTCATGAAATCTAATAAAAATAGTTCTGTTTCTGCAAATAAAATAATACGTATACGAGAAAAATTGTGGAACTTGAAATCTTAATCATAAAATAGGGCAACTCCATTAATATATAACATTATTATTTGCATACATAGTGAATCTCATGTCGTTGATATAACAAAAACTTTGTCAATTAACAAATCTCATGTGATAAAATACACTTATTATCATATGAGAATGTTAGCATATTTATTGCGCACAACTCTTTACAATATCTAATTCGTATTTATTTGACATAAAATGAATAAAAAAACTATATACTTCACATCTTTCTATTTTATAAAGTAATATTTTGCAAAATGAGTTTTTTGGATGGAAGAGTTAATTGAAATAAATTTGGCATTTTACATTATTGACTAATAGTTACTCCACAGCAATATATCTCATACAACTTCAAATCACTATACTACATCTTATACAGAATACAATATCTAACTGTATTTGAGAGAATGTTTGAAATCGAATTATAGTAATTAGATAATTGAAAAATTCATTTATCCCAGTTAACATTACTTATCTGCATATGTGAGAATAATCAAAATATAATCAAAATAGATTATTTTATACCTTCTAATTTTCTCACAAGTCAAAAAGCTATAAAAATAGCTCTCAACTAATGTTTCAGCCACAGCCCATCTGTTATTAATTTTTATTCACATAGATTTTGTCAAAGGCAGGATTATTTTCAATTAAGCTATGAAAATACTTCTTTACATTCATTTAACTATAGCATATATAAAGCTTTTTTCTTGTTTAATTTATTAATTGTTAGAAACCTCATTTTAATATATCATATATGTAGTCATTACCTTGAAATTTGCGTCATAGATATGCAATTTATATTTTATATCGATCGCATGCTGCAGTATGATTTAAAACTATGCTGCAGTACATAATATACAAAACTAACTTTGCAAATATTTTTTGCATAATTAAATTTCTTACATCTTACATTTTTTAAAAATATTTTATAATACTGAATGTGTTGCGTGTAAATTTATTATTTTCATTATAAATCTTGTAGTTACTAAATAAAATCAAATTGTCATAAAAATTATATGATCTTAAAAATTTTAATATTGAAATATAAATTATAGGTTTTTTAATTATAATTTATATTTAGATTTAAAGAAATTTAATCATTTCTTTTATCATTATACAGGATATCCTAACCGAAGAAAGTCATTGAAATATTATGTTATTTTTAATATCATGAAAAATTTCATTACATATTTGGTAATCAAGATCATCTAAACATCATGTTTCAGGTATATTAAAATGTATTTTTTTAATCTGAAAAAAGCTAAAAAAATAAGAAAAAATTTTTTCTTCCAAGATACTTCTTTTTAAAAACCATTTAAATTGTTTTCAATTGTTAAAAACATTTTTCATGACATTAAAAACAAAGTGGCTTTCTTTAATTGAGACAATCGGTAATTTATATTACAATGATGATATAATATTATAGTAATGATAATTAAACAGTTTAAAATATTTTTAAGCTAACTTTTTATGCTAACTTTATCATTAAAAAAAACTATTAGTATATAAACTATATTACAAAATATTTTTGAATTTGTATTTGATTTTTAAATATTCCAACATTTCATTTTTTTAAATTAAAAATCATTTAAAATCAAACATACTTTGTCATAGATAATTCAAATAAATATTTAATTATAGAATTAATTACTATCACTATTATAAATATTATTAATTTAATACGTTGCACTTAAGCTAAAATTATTATAAACTTTGTTGATATTTGCAAAAAAAATTGATTTCAGTAAGTTCCTGTTCAAATGTAATGTTTAAATAACTTAATAAATATTCGAAAATTTTAAAATTATTTTATGACCATACATATAGACACAGACACATATAGTGTCCCAGAATAAATAAGCAATAAGGTGTCTGCAACACATCTAAATAATAAAAAGGTTCATATAAACATACATTCTATTTAACTTTATTTTCAAGTTATAATAGATTTTTCAACTAAACCTGCCTATTTATTTTCTTAAGGAATGTTTAAGATAATTTTGCACTGCAATAAATCTACAGACGTCTCACTAATGAAATCTTGGCCTGTTTTATTCTCTTTATGTTTAGATGTTGTTTAGATTTGCTGTAAATTTTATTCAATTCAACGAATTTCAAGTAATGCCATATGTAAAAATCATTAGAGGATTTTGTATACCCATGGATATAAAGGATATAAAGGAGCTGATTTTAATGAAATTTTACATAAATGCATAAATGTTTATTAAATATACCTAAGAATTTAGTCGTAATTTGTTTGTGCCCGATTTTTATTTTAAGGGAAAAATCAATTATTTTATCCAAATTAGTCCCTCTATACAAGTGATAAATCGTAAATTTCGAAAAAGAATCTTCGTGGATAAAAAATGGTCAAAATAAAAGTTATGTTCTTTTTTGAAACTTACGAAACTATGCAAAAAATTTTTGGAATCATTTTTTTTTATGAAAATTAAATTGTAATTCCAATTTTTTTTTAATCAATAAAAACGTCTATTTTTTATAAATCAATAGTATACTACATTATGTAATTGTAATTATTGTAATATCAAGATGTTCGGAAAAGACTTGTTGGGAATTAATTGTACTTCATTATGCTTGATGTAAGAAATAATTATAAATATTTCGCCTTTTTGAGAAATATCACCATAATAAAATTTCTTCGACTGTTATTATAATATACTGTAATTAAAATTAAAAAGAGAAAAATTAAAATTTCTCAAAAAAGAGATTAATTTAATTTTTATAGAAAAGGAAAAGAATTTTGTCTAAAAATTGTTTGAGATTTATAGATCTCAAGAAATGACATAATTTCTACTTCAATCACTTTTTGATATCTTCTATCATTTACAATTTATAAATACTTATATAACAGATCTGACTGGAATAAAAGGATTGATCTTTTTCTTGAAGTGAAAAACAAATTATGGTTAAATTCTTAGGTGATTCTAATGAACATTTATGTAAAATTCCATCAAAATCGGCATGTATCAGTCATCGGGATTCTCTTATAAAAGATAGTATTTACAATGTATTGTACAATGTTATGTGGAATTCTGTTTATAAATTCTACTTATAAACAATTAGAAAGAATTAAGTGATACAACATATATACACTGAAAAAAATATATATTGCGATATAAATCGTAAATAATTTAAAAATAAAATTAAATAAGATATACATTTATATAAACTTTTTTTATTATTTAGATGTGCTGAAGCTATCCCTAAATTTTTTTACTTATTATGTGACGTCTTGTATATATGTATGTATATACAAAGTGTTTCATTTAATTTATCCACACAGTTATTTCTGCAACTATTTATTATTCCAAAAAAAATGTTGGAAATAAAAAAAAATTTTTTCTTGGAAATATCTCATGATGATCACTAGATTTGTCTATGAAGGTAAAATTGAAATATTAGTGAAATCTCAAGATTACATTCACTTTTTTAAATGGGATATTATATATTTTTTTATGCTTTAATTATATAATATGTATAAAAAAATACATATACATACAAATACAGCTTAATATTCTCTATAAAAAACTATATATATTAGTTATAAACTAATATTAATAGCTATTTATAATTATAAACTATAAATCTATACATATCAAAAAATTATTAGTTTAAAAAATATTTTAACTTTAATTTTATAAAATCTATGCATGAAAGACAATGAATATGTATTCCTCTCTTGTTTTTCATGTAATAGGTTCTACAGAATTAAGGTTAAAATATCTCTTGAATTAATTTTTGACATATATAGATTAATATTTTTTTACAGACAATATCAAGCTATATCGATTATTTCATAAAAAAATGTATGATTCCATTTTAAAATATCTACATTAAAAAATAGATGTAACTTCGAGACTTTCGAAATCTTTTTACCTTTCAATCTAATCAAATCTAGTGATTATCATAAGATCTCCTCCTCGAAACAAAACAAATTTTATTTCCAACATTTTCTTGGAATAATAAATAGTTGCGGAGATAATATATGGATGAATTAAAATAATATTTAAGTATGTATAACATTTATAAATAAATATGTGTCAAGATATGTCATAAATGGAAGCATTGTGATTTTTTTCCAAATTGATAATGCATGCTAGAATATCAAGATGATGTATTTTTTAAATCATTTAAAATATATGTTTAAGTCAATTTGAACACTCCTTTACATATTCTTTCATGAATACATCTTCTTTACTACCTTATAAACAATTTACTGGTTACTCTCAGTATACATTAGTAGTGAACATAAAAAATTAATAATGAACATAAAAAATAAAATTTTAATTAAACAAAATAAACTAATATCTATATTAATATAGTTTTAATACAAACATACAACACAAAAATTTGGATCTAATAACATATAACAATAATTTGTTTATTTGAATTAATATTACTGTTGAAAGTAATTTTACTGCATATAAAAGAATAAAAAAGCCAATACTTCAAATAATGAACGTTTATGAATTTCTATAATTTATATGAAGATATTAAATTAAAGAAACTATTCAAGTAAAACAAACGTGTACTAATTTAGCAAACATAAAAATTAACAAAAAAACAATTACACATATTTCATTTGCCGCGACTTTCCGTATTCGAAACATTTCTTTGAGAATATATAGAACCTTGAGTTAATTCTCTCAATGGACCTTTCCTTAATTCTGGATTAGGTCCTTTGGCAACATAACGATTCCCAAAAAGCAAACTTGCATCATGTCCATTAGCTATTGTTTTGTTATACATCTCTTTAGTTAATAAATTTGGATCTGGCCCTGACCATGGTGCATAATCAGGCCTAAAAAAATTTGTAATAATAATCCACTTATTTCAAATTTCAATCATACAGAAAATTTTATCATTAAATTATAAGAAAATTTTTAACTTACAAAAGTAAGTCATTACTAGCTCCTTTTGGTAAATCAGGGTTTGGTCCAACTGGTTTTATCAGATATGGAGACTTGTATTCATTGTCTTCTGTAGTACTGGTTCCTCGAGAAACTCTGGAAATATCAAATATTATTTTTCTTTCCTCATTAAATTTCTTTTCTAGGTACGAAAATATAAAAGATATATATAAATATAAAAAGATATAATAAAATTTTATCTTACTTTGGAATTTCTATTTTAGTTTTTGACCGTTTAGATTTTTCAGAATCTGCATCCTTAACTACTTTCTTAATTGGTGAAGCAGTTAATTTTACAGCTTCAGTTATAGGTGGACTGTCTTTTCTTTCATCGCTTCTACTACTGCAAATGTTATATATATTATTAATAAGATATTTTTAAACAATTGAACTATATTTGTTTATAATAAGTTCCATAAAACTCATCTATTTTTGAGTTTTATGGAACTTATTATAAACTTATTATAAAATATCAATATTTTTACTTAGATATATCTTACCTTTGACTACTTGATGTACACAAAGGTCTTGTAGCTTCTTCTGTAACCATGATATCTAATATGTGTATTGCTCTTTCCTCATCATAGTCAACACTATCCATAGCAAGCATTATTACTCTTTCTGGCACTGATTTATACTTTTCCATTAATCGTATTTTCACTAATAAATTATATTTTAAAAATTTAAATATTGATATTAACATTTTAATATGAATTATTAAATATACCTACTTTTATTTTTTTCTTCTATACTTTTCATACGCGGAGGCGGAATAGGTACAATTTGTTCATTGTTTATCTATAAAAATAAAATATAAAATAATTTTTGAAATATCGATATTGATATACGATATAAATAAATGTTATATATTACTTGTTCCTCTTCTTTTTTTTTTAATGATTTAGGAGCTGTAGGATTTCTTTTTTCATAACCCAAATCGATTAATTTTTCAGAAGCTTTTTGAACATTGTTATCACTTTGTTCCAAAATATCAAGCAACATAGTTTCTTCTACTTTTGGAAATACATTTTTCAGGTACCTGTATATATAATATTTTAATATGTAATATTTAATATGTTTGTTTCATAATGCATAGGATATAAACAAACAAAATCTACAGTACAGGACTGAATTGTGCAATTGGACAATTGATTTATAAATCAGACAAAGATATAATGCAAATAATTAATAAAATAAATTAAATATTAAAATGACATTATTTTTAGTGATTAGTAACTAAAATTTACATGAAACATTAATTGTAATAATTTACGTGGTATGTACATGTGATTGATAATTTGAGTATCATATATAATACTGAGTATTAATATTGAGTACATAATTATGAATATTAATATAATGCTATAATATTATAATGTGTAATAAAACAATCTCAAAAATTACACAAAGACATTTTAAATATAGAGAATATACACATGCACATACTAGCATGCTTAAATCACATTTTACTTGAATAAATGAATTTCTTATTGCATGCATAATATATTGGTACTCTCTTCTCTTTTTTAATATTCTTTGATTATACGTCAATGTTACATATAATATTTTTAAGAAACTCATTAACACCATTATAAGGATTCTTATTAGAACAGACAAAAAATAAGCAAAAGAAAAACTTTATGATTGTTACTAAAAACTAAACAAAAAATACATTAATGATATAGAACTGAAACCAACCTATCTATGATTTGTGTAAATTTTACATTATCCAACATGTGGTGTACTGTAAACCAGGAAGAAACTGAAATAAAAAATGAACTGAAATGAGAAATGACAATACTATGTATAAAAAAATTAATACAAATTATAAAAATAAAAGATGATTGACACGGAAACAAAATGATTAAAAACAAAAACAAAAACTTATTAGCCTTCTAATAGCATTCTTTGGAAACTACTTAACACAAATTTATTTACCACACAAGATATAAATTCTTGCAACATTATCTATTCTACTAATTATGAGTTATAAAAGTATAATAAATTTGCACACAAAAAATTTATAATTTTTGCTCATATAATATATAGAATAAAAAATATAGTTTTACATACAAATAAAAATTGATTTGATTGTACAAATAGTCTGTAAAATATACTAACACATGCTATTATTACACACCATTGTATGATCATATATATAAAATATATCAGATACTTAAAAAAAAATATGTGTGTGTGTGTGTGTGTGTGTATTATTATCTGATATATTTTTTTGCAACTATCATAATATATCATACAATATCAACATCTATCAAGGTACAATATCAATATATCTGATGAAATTTAAATTATAAGTATGGGAAAAACCTAAGTTTTATTTTTGGGGAGTTAGGGGCTGGCCGAGCCCCACGAGGTGGACTCAATGTTAGAGCTGCATGTATAGCATGTGGTGGTAATCGCCATCTTGGTATTGCATAGTTTGAATGCACTCCCACAGGTGTGCATGGTCCTGGTGCACAAAGAGGATTCTTCTCCACTTGTAAAGCGCTGACAACCAAAGCTGCTCTGTTATGGTATCTGAAAGATATTAGCTACCATCTTAGCATTATAATTGATACAATTCTAATAAAATTCACTTAAAAAATGATATGTAATTAGTAAAAATATAATTAAATATGCAAGGAACCAATTTTTTTAATTTTATATATATATATAGTTTAAAATATATGTTTGAATTTAAAGACAAAAATTTATACTAATAAAAGTAAAATATTAATCAAAGTTTTTATTAATAATATAAATAATATAAATAAAAATTTAAATAATGCATATGCGTTATATATGCATATTCTAAAACTTACTTTTTCAAAAGAAGTCGAATATGAGTATCAGAAACTGTTGGAAACATAGCATTGATTTTGGCAACTTGCAATTCAGAATCAGAATTCTGTGTTAAGCATGTTTCCATATTCTTTACTGGAGTTGGAGATCCTAATGTCATATCCCCGAGTCTGTTTGTCATTGCACTAACTGATTTCAATGATAATGGAGTTTTCAGATCCTATATGAATTACTTTTTTTAGATATTACTGAATACATTTGTTTGATATTTAATATTAAAAAAATATGTTTAATAAACAGACATATATTATAAAACCATTTAACATAGAAATTTGATACAAAATAATATTGTTTATGATTAATCTATGCACTTTCCAAAGAAAATTGATTAAATAAAATTTTAAAATCAAAATAATATAAAATGCATGTATAATTACATTACCTACCTGTAAACAAGGAGGTAAAAATGCAAGTTGTGGATTATGATAAGGGGACAGTGTTGGATAGATTTGTGGAGCTCTATGAGCTCCTGCATAACCTATATGTGCACCAACTCCATTTCCTCCAGTCTATTATTTTGTTGTACATGTTATATTTTATCCAAATGCAGCATGTGCATATGACAAAAATACATACATATATTGAAAGTGCAATTATGATTATTTTAATACGTGCATAAGTGCTATTTTAAAACATTCAACTCTACTCTTCGAAATATAAGAATGAATACATTTATTAATTAATATAATTAAACTGCAATTTATGGAAAATTTAAGAATACGAGAATATACATAATACACAGAATATGCAAAAATGTATAAAATAATTGTGATAATATTTAATAAATGAAATAAATTATTTATATTGTACATCATTATTGTTATGTTTATAAAAATACAAATTATCATAAATATTGATGAACTTAACAATTTTAGCATACAACAAGAATTATTTACTGACCTGCATAGGTATATCTTGGGAAGTGATGGTTGTAACAGAACTCAGTGCCATTGAATTTTGTGATTGTATATACTGAGAATACTGCCAATATCTTACTCTTGGATCTTCCCATGTTGTAGTACGGTTAAAATGATTTATAAAATATCTAAAAAATGTTTTAAAGTAAATTGTATAACTATCTAATGTAATGATATTTATCATATAAAATTCAATTATAACTATATATAATGATTGATGTATCATACTTTTACAGCAAATAAAAAAAATTCTTTAGTAAAGAATTATGCTCTTTAATATTTTCTTTACTAGTTTATGTACATAAAAAAATCAAATGAAATAAATTGCGATTGCGTAATAGCCTTTTATAATAAATAAATATTTCTACTTGAATTCAGTTTTTCTACTATTAGATAATAAAATAATCGAAGATTTTATGAAAAATTTACATACGGACGACCACTTCGAATGTCATATCTGCATTCCCAACCGGGTGGCAATTGACTCCTGTCACTTTCCTCAGCCATCTTTGCGTATCTTGATAACTCGAAGGTCTTCCGCAACTGATGTTATGTACTTATTTATTATTATTAATTAAATTTAGTAAAAATATAGATCAATCAAACATTAATATACTTTATTTATTAATTAAATATAATAATTTGAGATATCATTAATCATAATTTTTTCCATGTTAGTTTTATTAATACAAAAAAATTATTCAATCTTGTGCAATAACAAAAACTTACATTGTATATTTGTTAACGACATTATAATATTTAATTGATAATAAAATTTAATTAATAATATATTAATCTAATTAAGTATTTGCAGTTTAATATTTATTTTTTTTTTAATTCAAAATTACCTAACATTTATATATTTTTTTATATTTAATTACATTATATAATATACAAGATACTTATTTAGATAAACAGATATATGTGTATATGAGATAGAGTAATTTGAAATAAATTCTAATTCTTTAATTAAATATTTATTTCATTACATTTTATTTTTTAATTATTACAGTACTTCTATCTTGAAACATTATTTAGAGTAAAGTATGAGATACTTAAGAACCAATAACTTATACAATAAATAATATTTTTTAGCACAATATTTAAAACATATCAAACTATTATTACATATAATTATAATATTCTTATATTGAATTTGATACAGATTATACAAAGCATCTAAATTAAATAATTATGAATAATTTTTAAAATTTGCTAAAAATAAATATATTTTAATTTGTTCTTTGAAATTATATTTTAACTAAATGACAAATTATTATTGCTTCTTCTTCTTTTTTATATAATCATTATATATGCTATATAACATTCCTAAACTAACAATTCCAACTGCTGTACCCTGTGCTATAATTCTTAACTGCGTAAGAAACACAGAAGCTGATACTTTTCTTGTTTTCCATTTGTACATACCTATTCCACAAATAGTAGAAAAACCAACTAAACCTATAAAATAAATAGACAATTATATTTCCATAATGTAGTATTAATATAAAATTAATGTTTATTCACTATATTATAACAAAAAATTGTAATAAAAAATAAATAATTATTATAGAATATTCATTCCAATTTAGTATGATATATTCAACTAATAAATATTTGTTTCTAAAAGCATACCAGCTATACCAAGTGGTGATCGTTTTACAACTGAATAAATTCTATCTGTTAGTGACTTTTCATTTTCTAACGTTATCATCTCAATAGCCTCTTCTGGAATCTCAACTTTTTCAGTAATTTTCCAAGTGTTGTCATTCATTGTTCACCTGTACATGTTATACACATATATTTAATAAAAAAAAAAATTTACTATATTTACATGTATAAAAATATAACTATTAAAAATATTGTAAAATCTTTAGCATTTAAATGAAATAATATATAAATATTTTACCAAATCTAAAATATTTTTAAATTTTATAATTGTAATACACGCATGGGCTTATGCACATATATATATTCTTATTTATTTATTTAAAAAACAAGTTAAAAACTAAATATAAAAATATAAAAATTAAATATAAAAATTAAATATTGTGTATTACAAGAATGTATAATGTATTGTAAATGTTATACCGTAACTAATAATTTTTCTATTAAAAACATTTAAAAATAAATTTTAAAAATAAATTAAAATAAATTAAATTTAAAAAGAGATTTTATTATAATTATTAAATATACCTACGCATATATATATACACAAAATAAACATGCATATACAAAATAAAATTAATTACACTATATAAAATTAAAATTTTATATAGTGAATAAAAATATAAATAAGAAACAAACATTAATAATTTGTAATCAACAATGATAATAAATTTTTCATGTATTTGATTTTACTTATTTTGTTACAAAATCTTTTATTACTATAATATTTATAATATGTAATATGTATTTCGTTTCTCATTTCTTATAATTCGATTTTTTGTAATCTCTCTTTTCATTGATTTTCAAATATGATATGAATGTCATTCAATATTATAATAACTATAAATATTGTTCACATAACAAAATAATTAAAAATTAAATTACATTATTATTTTAAAATAGTAACATTATATCAATAGTTATTTTAAACTAATAAAAAAATGTAAAAATTATAAAATATAGAAAGTTATTGTAAGGTTAAGATTATAAAAATATAAAAAGTTTCTAATGATTTAATTACGTATCTTTACTAATTGTTTCGAAAATGAAAAATAATAATTTTAATTTTTAAAATCAGTTTTGATATTCTTTATATAAATTTTTCTTTATGTAACGGTTATATGTAAGGAATTATAATAACACATTACTATTAATTTGTCTTAAACAATATTTTTATATGAAATATTTCTAAATTACGTTTTGATTTATAAATTGATTATATGCAAAATGAATAAACAATTTACCTTTATTCCTTGAACAATATCAAAAATTCACAATTAAGAATATAAGTATTTCTACCGTTTCGTTTCTTGCAATTATGACGTAACTATCATGCGGATTCGTGGCCCGCGAGTCATGCTTCTCTTTCCTACTTTGTTGAGTAACTCCCTCCATACATATTAGATTCTGATCGCAACCGAATTCCTTCTTTTGTAATTACCATCGCATTCACATATCAATCGGTATCATTTATATAAATATATGGTAAAATGTGACACGAAAATAAGAGGACTCTAACCCCACTCCCCACAAAATACAGTGGATGTTACATCTGTTTTATACCTCGTCTGTGGTTAAAACATTTTTGATTTCAGATTTATCGATATTTATTATTTTAAATAATTATTTTCGTTTCATAAAGCCTAACAAAATACTATTTTAATATTTAAATGGAAAAGCCATTAATGATTAATGTTAATTAAGATAAATCTAATTAATATCTAATGTATTCCTAAAGCAAGCATTTTATGTCTTAAGACTGATTTCTATGGCAACTTAAAAGTAAATATAGATTAGTGAGCAATTCAAATACTTATAAATACTAATTATCACAATTTATATTTATCACATCAAGATTATCATGTTGTGTAGTATTTTATAAAATTAACATTATGAGAAGTTGCAAGGCTGTAACAATTCAAAAGCCAATATTTAATGTCGCAAAAAAGATACATATTTTAACAATTCTTATACGTTTTAAATTTATGGATTATATGCATTTATGTAAATTTTCTTATTAAATATAAAAAGAAATTATAAAATTAATTACTAATAACACCTTATAGTATGACTGATACTAATTATGCATATATTTCTATATTTATATATATATTACATATATATTTAAATATATACTACATACATATGTATTTAAATATGATCAAATAAATTTCTACAGTAAAATTAATAAATCTATTATATACTATTTTATTATTTATCTTTCTTGCAATTATTCATTTTATGTTGAAAGTAGATTTGTATTTTACAGAGTAATTTGTATTTAAAAAAGCTTTTAAGCAAATAAGGATTATTTTTTATTTTATTTTTATTTTATTTTATTTAAAGGCTCTTAAGCAAATAAGGATTATTATTTATTTTATTTAAATTTTATAATCATGTATTTTTTATAATTATGATGAAGTTTCAAAGTAATTTGTAATTCCGAAAAATTACATTATGCAACATAAAAAATTTGTAATAAATACTGTATTATATAGATATATATACAAATTTATCATCATGTATCATTGGTAACTATTTATTATTTATCTATTTATTTACTTCTAATTATAATATACGTAATAATATATATATAATACAATACAATACAATATATATACAATACAATACAATACAATACAATACAATACAATATATACAACAATTTTGCTATTGGCTAATAATAAAGATCACGTGTAAGATTTCTTATATATGTGTATGTGTATGTGTATATGTGTATACTGCGTATACATATGAATGCATGTATATATGTCAGTCTGCAGTAAACTAGAAATCTGACAAACAAGAATTTATTTGACATAATCGTAGATGAATCTAGCAATAGTTCAAGTGATTAATTTTGACTTGAAGTAAAATTATAATCTGTTATAAATTTATAACGAATGTGTCTAAAATTAAAATATATTAATTCTATAACAATATTTCAAAAATACTAAAGTTACAATTAAAATTTTACACAATATTTTCAGTTTGTTTTTATAGATATTCTAGATTAGTGAATTTAAGTTTATTACTATTTTAAAGTAACATTATTTATATATTATACATAACTTAAAACATTAACTGCAGTTATGGCAGCAATAAGACATACATTGCAAAGAGAAGTATTTACACCTAATGATGAGAAATTATTAAGTGTATGTTATGTCAGTAAAGCATATAAAAAAAAAAAAATGAGTTTTTTGTGCTTAACTACAACTACAGATTTACCTTCATCTTTAGTTTTGTATCAAGTAAAAAAAAATGATAAAAATGTATTTAAGAAAAAACAATCATGGCCTTTAAATGATATTCAAATTGTGGATGGTATTAAAAGTGATTCTATGGATATAGAATTACATATTGATAAAATATATAAGTGGTCAGTGACAACAATACAAGAACGAAGAACATTCATAAGCAATTTATACACTTATTCTTGTAATTTAGCTCAAAGACCACAGTTTAAAAATATTCCTAAAGAATTGCTTATAGATCCGAGTTCATTAAAAGAAAGTGACAGTATTACTTTTACACCAGGTGAATATTTATTATAGTTTTTGTTTTTAAATTAGTTTATTTGTGTCTTAAATAATATCAACTTTTAATGTATATAATTATTTAATAGTAATAATAATAATGTCGGTATTATAACATTATTTGTAGAACTATTAACATCTCCTATTTCATCTGATTATCAACCAATTACTGAAAAAGAAGTTACTGATTTAAAACAAATGATGGAAGATTGTGAATATGCAGTTTCTAATGCTGAACTTTTCATGGAAACTCTTTCTAAGAATCTTTCAATTCTTGATGGGGTAAAATTATAAATTTAGCAAATTATAATTTTAAAAAGTCTTAAAGTCTATAAATTATAATTTTAAAAGTCTTAATTCTTATTAAAAAGTCTTAATTCAAAATTTACTTTTTATTAATACAAATATAGGAAAATGTGCAATCAGTTTTGGCATCAGAAGCCTATGTAACTCAATTAATGAATAGTATAGAAGCAGCAATAACTGAAGCTTCTATTGTTGAAGCCCGCCTTGCAGCCTATGATGAGGCGCTTGGTAGAATTAGAGAAGTTATGGCACGTGTAGGTCAAAAAAATCAAGCTATCCATACAGCTAATAATAATGCAAGACTTTTGTTAAATCAATTAAATACAGTAATTGTAAGTAATTTTTATTTCACTATATATGTTTTATAAACTTTTGTAATAACTTTTATAAATTTTTATTTCATAATAATTTTATATAATCGTAATTCTTTAATTGAAAAAATTTTAAATTGTAAGTTGCAATTAGATATTTCTCCAACTCACCAACATATTTTGAGTGAAGCTGAGCTTCCAGGAGAAAAAGAAGAACTTAGCCACGCAGGTGCTGCTCTTTTAAAAGCAATTCTAGCTCCTTTACCACCAGGACTTGATAAATTAAATGCAGTAACGGAACAAAAAAGGCGACTTGATAAACTTAGAGTAAAATTTTCTATAATTGTAGCTAGACATCTAAATAATCTTTTTATTCATTTGGTATGTATATCTATAAGAATAATAAAATTAAATTATCATTGATATTAAAATATAATATTGTATAGGGTAATGATGTTGGAGATACATCAATGTCAATGACAGATTTAGTTCTTCCAACACATCAAGCAGTTCATCACGAACTCGAACCATATACAGAGTTAATGCAATTATTAAGAGCATTAGATAATAAGGCTTTTACACAATTGACTAAGGTATATACAGATACAATGAGTAAATTATACAAAAGAGATTTGAAACGATTTTTTGAGGAAGCAAGAAATAAGCTTATTTGTAAACGTCTTCAAGGTATATAAGTTTTTTTCTTTTTTATTATTAATAATGATAAATCTTTATTCTTAACGAGAACGAATGTTTTTAAGCAAACATATCAAAGTCTAGTAGTCAAAAAGCAGAAGATTTATTAAATCCTGCACCTATTTGTTTACTAAGTGGGGAAACATGGGCACCTGTAGGAGAAGGAAATCTTCTGGATTCAGTTCTTGATTGCATGCTTTCTCAAATGCAACCAGTCTGTCTCGCAGAACAAGCATTTTGCATTTCGTTTCTACAATTAGATTCTGTTCTTTCTCCATCAAAAGTACGTAAAATATTAATAGTTAAAATTTAATTACAATATTTAAAAACTATTAATGTATTAGAGTAGTATAAATAGAGTAATGTATAGTGTATTATAAATGTATTAGAGTAGTGAAATGGAAGAAACAGATAACGTTAGCAATGGAGCTGCAAGTCCCGGATCAGTGACTTCTACAGCAAGTAAAAAATTAGAAAGACAAGTAAATGAAGAAGTGCGTGCTACAATGTCAGCAATATTTCCATCACTAGAAACTGAATTAAATAATTTTATTGCTTTTTTGGATAAAATCGATAGTTTGTAAGTAATTTATAACATTTTATTTCAATTTTTTTTAATTTGCCTAATGATTAATGGGAAATAAATTTCAGTTGGTGTATGTATGTTTTGGTACGTTTATCACAACATGTTATGTCAGCACAAGATACTGGTTCATTTTTATCTATGACATTTGCTTCTGCTCTAATTCAAGTTAAAAGAGCATTTGACAAATTCATGCAAACGCAATTACAATCAATTCTCTGTGATACTAAAGTTAATCGCAGAAATAAATGCGGTATATTGCCATATGTAGAAAATTTTGGACCATTTGCAAGAACAACAGAAAAAATATTTAAAAATTCAGATAGAAAAGTTGATCTTGAGAAATGGTATAGCAAATTAGTGAGTACAATGTTTGAAGCCATTATTATCCATAGCAGAGAACATCATAAAACTCCACAAGAAGTTATTAAAATGGGTAAGATAAAAGAAATCGTAAAGTACTGAATAAACAATAATTGCTTTGTATTTTAGAAAACTTTCACCATGTATATGATCTTCTGTCACAATTAAAAATACCTGTATTTGATCATGAACGAAAGGAAGCTAAACAAAAATATCAAGATGCCTTACGTGCATATGTTACACAATATTTTGGAAGACCTTTAGAGAAATTAAACGTTTGTATCTTAAATCTTTTTCTACTTTTTGTGTAGTAAATTGTTTTCTTTTTTTAAATATTATATTGTACAATATATTTACAGTTATTTTTTGAAGGCGTGCAAGCAAAAGTTGGTGCTGGAGTTAAAGAATCTGAAGTTAGTTATCAAATGGCTTTTAGTAAACAAGAACTTAGACGTGTAGTAAAAGAATATCCCGCTCGAGAAGTTAAGAAAGGTTTAGAGAATTTGTACAGAAAAGTTGAAAAACATTTATGCGAAGAAGAAAATTTATTACAAGTAAATGAAAAATATAAATAATTTATCAATATTGTCTTCTTTTCTGGACTGTATTATATATTGCATATCTTTTTATATAGGTTGTTTGGCGTGAAATGCAAGGTGAATTTATTGCACAATATATATATATAGAAGAACTAATTCAAAGATGTTATCCAGATAGTATGGTAACTCTGGAATTTACTATACAAGATATTTTAGAATTTTTCTCAGAAATAGCTCGATCTCATTAAAAAAATTGTAAAATAAAAGATCTATGATACATATTAATATTTAAATTGAAATAACAATAAGAAAATAATGTAATTTCTTGATGAAAATGTAAATATTTAAGTTTCGTAAGTAGTATTTAAATTTTTGTTCAGTCTAAACTTTTGCGTGACATAAATAAAACAAACTTATATATTTAATAAACTTCAATCTATATATTTGTATTATGTAAATCTATATATTCGTATTATATAAATGTATTATTTTGTATATTTTAATTCTTAATAATTTTATAATAACTTTTAAAGGTTTAAATTAAAATCTTAATTCTCTAGCAATCCTTAAATTTTTATATTTCAATTTTATACTTGGTAAGTACGAAAAGGGTTTATATTTTAAGAAGATGTTTAACATAAAATTTAATCGAAGAATCATAAATGAAATTTTTTTAGATTTCGTTTAAACTTATTTTTTAATTTTTGACTGAAAGAACGTAATTAACATATACGGGATAACAATAGAACAATTAACGGAATAGAACAATACATCTTTTAAGATAAATATTAAGTTATAAACATTTTCTTTCTCTTTTTGTATATAAATATAAATTGATAAAAGTAATATGAAAATTATACATGTTATAAATATTTTATTACTTTTCACTATAAAGTAATTGTACAATTATATTTATTATCTGCTACAATTTAAATTTATCTTATTTAGAATTTTGAGGCTTATCTTCTGGTTTTGGTGGGCGAAAATTAAGCCAAAGGACTCCAGTTATTTTACCCTAAAAATTAAAATAATATAAGTAAAAGTAATTTAGTGAAAATATTAATCTATGCTGATATGTACATACATATGCTATAGTAGCACCAAGTATAACGATACCAGCTGCTAACTGTAAATTATACTTTCTTTCAGCTTTAGTATGTGCTTCTTGCCATGAGCCCTGTGGCACAAGCACTTCGTCCATAGTTGGTGGTCGAAGTTCATTAGGTACATGATAGGATCGAACACCTTTAATATAATATATAATTATTATAATAAATCCAGTGCAAAAAATCATGGTTATAATAATGTTCCTCTTACAGGAAATAATATCACAAGATTTTAAGTAATCTTATAAAAAACAAAAAAAATTTTTTTTTTATAAAGTACAGATCTTAACTAAAAATATTAAAAAAAGTATTGAAAAAATTAATCACAGTGAAAGAATCATAAATAATATAAAAATTTTTAAAAACATATGTATATATAAGTAAATTAAATTTCATAATTGTTGCTAAATATATCTAAACAATATCGAATAACTAATATTATGTAAGATTCTTTAATACATTATTTCCAAATCTAATGGAATAGAATAATATTAGCTTACCATTTCGTGTATTTCGGACAACTGGTTGTAACAGATATCGTAACATTTTTACTATTGTAAATTAATTCTTAATAGTTCAATAATACTTGGATCTTACTATACACCAATGAAAAGACATACGCATACACAGATAGTAAAGCATATATTGGTAAAGCACTTCGCACTTATGATCACTGCGCATGTAACTATTATGTGATATCTAGATAGGAAAATTGCTTGTCAAAAGATTGAAATGATGATTGAAAAGTGCATCAATAATATTATTGTAATAATATATATATATATGTATATATATATATATATATATA